TATCAAACGCTTCCTGAGGGCCCTCGCAAGGGCGACCTTCCAACATATTGGCCTCACGAATCGTGGCATCCGAAATCTGAGGGGACCCCGAAATATCAATCACACCGAGCTCATCCCTCATAACATCTTCCACCACTAGGGAAGTCTCGCCCCCGGTCTCTCTCTCGACCATCTCAGCTTGGGACATAGTGGACTTAACTCCTTTTGGCTCGGGTACCTCGACCGATGCTCCCTCGTCAACCTCCCCCAGTTCGGAGGGCTTTTGTATCGAAACACCAGCCTGCACACGGGCTACCAGATTTGATTCCTCTTCTTCTTCATCTTTGGACTCGTCTCTTTGCCGATGGACTGAGTACAAAGTTAGAGCAATGGTGCTCCCCTTAGGTTTACGGGCTTGCCTTTTCATTGGCATTTGCTTTTTCGAGTTCGGGGAAATCGGAGCCCCTTTTCACTTCTTTTCTTTGGCCTGCTTCGGAGAAGGTAGTTGGGAACGAATTTCTTCTTCTGACGGGGGCCTCATTTCCACATCCTTCCCGAGGCCTGCAAAGTAAAAAAGACGAGTAAGCTCGAGAAGTAGCCCGAATGATAACCATTCTAAGGAAGAAGCTTACCATGATTGCGGGCCTCCCATCGACCCCTTGACAATTCCATCCAAGTGCGCTCGGAGTAAGGTCTCTGCGATACTAGGCTCTCGACCCATTGCTTGAGATCGGGGATCACCTCCGGCGCCTGGGACACAGCTGCAACACCAAAGAATACAGATGAGGAAAGATGATAAGAAGCAAAACAGCAAAATTAAAAAGGCAAAGTACTACTCACGGTTCATGTTACTTTTCTCAGGGAACGACATGTCTTCAGCAGGGATTAGGTCCGAAGTCCTTATTCGGACATATCGGCCCATCCAACCTCGGTCGAGATTCGTCTATGCTCGAGAACGGGGCTTTGACGGCCCGGCGAGCACGCTTAATCAGCCCCTCGATAGAGTCGGGGACTATAAAGGCGCATAAGGTGGTCGATGGTGAAAGGACACCCCTCGATTTTGCTCACGAAAAATCAGAGGAGAATCACTATTGCCCAGAAGGAAGGATGGATCTGACCGAGGGTCACATCATAGCGCTTGCAGAAGGCGACGATGATAGGGTCTAAGGGACCTATCGTGAAAGGGTAAGTGTAAACACTTAGGAAACCCTCCACATGGGTAGTGATCGACTCCGGGCGAAGGTACCACGACATGTTTATCGACCCAGTGGCAATCCTCTTTAACTTTGTCAAGGACATCGTCGGTTACCGTACATATGTACCTCAAGACTGGTTCAAATCGACTTGGTACCAAGGAGGCTTTTTCGATCCTAAAATAGGCAGCAGTAGGGCACCCTCCCGGAACGAAATCCTCAAAGGGAGGTTCCGCTGTAGCTCCGTCGCCGCGCGGGCCGTGAAGTAGAGGCGACCTCCTTTTGCGGTACGGTTTTAGAAGTTTTTTCCATCGTAAAGTAAAAGAGAAGGGAATTAGGGTGATTTTCTTGAGATTGAAGAAATTTGGGAGCAAGAGTTGCAGAGCAAAGAGATTTTTTGAAGAGAAGCAGCAATAGAGGAAATTCTGAGCGTAAAAGTTTAAGGGGAAGAATGTGGTGGTACTTATAACTTGCTAGTGGCGGTTAAGATCCGATGATGGCCGACCAGCAACTGACTGCCATTTAATGCCTTGGTAACCAAACCGACGGGACATTTCAGTACGCACTTGTCGCTGACGTCATAATTGGGTTCGTCGCTTACGTCACGGCACATCGAGACGGGATTGAAAAAAAATCATGTTGTTTCTCGTCGTCTTCTCTCCGAGAAACAAGGGGACTATCTGTATACGGTCAAATTCGGGCTTGCCCTTTCCGTGTGGCTGATCGAGACTGGAGCACAATAAGCCAAGGATCAGCCTCGTATTATACCGAACTATGGTGCAAAGTTAGGTTGCCGAGCTCAAGACCCTTAGACCGATGAAGATTGAGATAGACCAAGATCAAAATCGAATAAGATGCAGATTGAGGGAAGCTTACCGAGTCGAATAACGGAAAGACAAAATATCCGCAATCGGGCGAGGATCACAGTGCGAATCCGGCACGTACCAAGAAGAGGCTGATTAATTAGCCAATCATGGGGTTTCTTACTTCATATAGGATTGTACTTAGCGTAGGACTCCCCTACTATATAAAGAGGAGTCTAATCATTTGTAAACACAACATATTTACGCAATACAAAGCAATACACTGTCATTCTCCATTTATCATTGTCTTGTTATTCTGTTCTTAAGCCAGTTGATACATATTTGGTTCAAGGGTGATCGAATTCGAGGGCCAAGGCTATTCCATTTGTGTGGTTTGCATTTATTCTTTAATTGTCTATTTCAATACTAGTTTATTCTCCTCAATTTTTACCAGGTTACATCACGTGTCCTTAAAACTGCGTATAAATTCAATTCTTATCCGATTTTAGGGTAGACAATATGTGTATATATATATATATATATATTTCTACGATGGATTACGTAAATTTTTGGCTGAAAATCAAGGCTTGCGAGATTTCAACCGTTTTTCTTGTTGGATTGACGATTAGAGCATTCATTAGTTTGCCTAATTCCTTTTCTATTTTTAATTTTTGTTTTGTAAAACTTTACTTCTTTCCTTTTAATTTATATGATCGTGTTTATCCACGAGAGAAAGGGATTCATCTGACACTCCTTCGCTGAAAAAATATATTACGTATATAGGGTTAACATTTTATGTATATATATTAGATGTTGTATTTCCTTAACCTTTTCGTGTAATTATTTTTTAATGTTTTGAATCATTTTGTTGAAATTCTGCCTCCACCATTGTGTATCACTATGTCTCAAAACAATAAAATATTTTAAAACTTATGGTAATGCCACGACATATATATGACTATAAGAGTATTGTTAGTAGACTGTATTTGTAAAATAATTCTGGAAATATAAATAAATATAAACAAAAATGAACATAAACAGAAATGACATAAACAGAAATGACATAAAACCAATTCGAGCCCACTGAATTCACAGTGTTTCCTTAAGGAATTTAATCCCCTCCTAGTACCCAAGGTTATGGATTATTTCCTCACAGGATAGAACGAATTACACACTGGTGTAGTGGTACTTCAAACCCCAGTGTTTCAGCGAACACAAAGTTCGGTAGCAAATCACACTTACTTTTTACTTTGTTTGATGCTAAAAGTATGCAGAAGAAGGAGAGAAAAATCAGAAAACCGTAGTGAAATTCTGAGCAGAATAGTATTGTATTTATAGCCAAAGTTGGGCTGAAATCTGAAGAGGTGCAACTCTTCAGAATGGCTGTTTATGCAAAACGCCCACAACATTTAATATTAATATTTAATATTACCAAAACAGAAAAATAGATTGGCTTTAATATTAATATTTAATATTAATATTCTGTTATTAAAATAAATATTTAATAATATTTTTCAAAAAGTTAATCAATCAATCGTTTGACCAAATCCGAATCCGTAGCCGTAGCCGTAGCCGAAGCCGAAGCCGAGCCGAGCGACGACAACGACGGCGCGAGGCTTGCCTTCTTCTCAACTCTTTAAGAGCTAGAAGAAGAGCAATTGCTTATATACCCATAAAAAACCTCTTCCTCTTCCAATATGGGACAATGCCCATTTGCCAAGGGGAGAACTTAAAATTTCACTCAAAAATTTCATTTCCCTCCATTTCTCATTCACCCTCTTTTAAGTATTTAATATATTAATTAAATACATCCAAAACCCAACAAGTATATTATTAAAAGTAAAATTAAAATTGTAAAATTAAAAAATTCAAATATAAAAGGCAAAATACATTAATACCCCTTTTAAAATCCAAAACAATCAGATAGATATTTTAATAATGCCATTGACCATATACACCTCTGTTTGGTTATAAGTGTGTCTTCTAATTAGTGGTGTTCGTCGGTCGGTACGGTAAGGTATTTAGACATTTCGGTTCGGTATTTTCGGTATTCAGTTTCTTATAATGCTATACCAATACCGTACCTAATTAAATTCGGTGTGGTTCGATTTTTCTCTTTTCGGTTTCAGTTTATTCGGTTCGGTAACTTTAGTTTATTCGGTTTGAATACTAACAAGTGCATAGAGTCATAGACTATAATATTCTTAATTAAAGTATTCAAAAGTACAAAACAAAAAACATTTGTTACAAAAGTATTGTCCAAAATAAGCAAATATCAACCTAGAGAGAGAAAACTGCACATAAAGAAATAAATTTGATCATAAAAAATGTCTTCGTACTTGCTTAGAGTTAATTGATGAAATTAGAGAATAAAGGAAAGTAAAATTTTGATTTTATATATTTATGTTATAATTAATAATATGTGTTTTGTGTAATATAATATATATTTTGGTATGGTATCGATATTTCGGTATTTCATTTAAAAATACCAAATACCATACCTAATACCATATTTTTTTAAAACTTAAACCAAATACTATACCGAATACCAAAATATCGAATACCAAATACCAAAATTTTCGATTTCGGTACGGTAATTCGGTATTTACCAAATTATGCACAGCCCTACTTCTAATTGAAGTGTCTATTTGATTGTATTTCGCCAATATAAAAATATACTACTACTCGTTTCACATAAAATGGAACATAGATTAACATACTACTCCCCACGTTTCATTTTTTGTGAACGTATTTTCTTTTTAGTCCGTTCCAAAAAGAATGACCCATTTTTAAATTTAGAAACAATTCAACTTAAATTTTCAATTCTACCCATAATGTGAAGTTTTTATAAGCCCTTTTCTGACTGTTTAGGTTATCAAATTTTAAAACTCGTTCATTTTTTCTTAAATTTCGTGCCCAATCAAACAGATTGACATAAATTGAAAATTAACATATTTCTTTTTCTTTTTTTGTCTTACGTGTCATCCTACTTTCCTTTTTGAAGCATCTTCTACTTTTTCTCTCTCCCATTGGCCACCACTAAAACCCCGCCCACACCCACTTTTCTTCTTTGTGTTGACTCCATCTTCTTCAAACTTTGCGCACATCTCTACTCTCTTGTCTTTTCTATCCGAAAAAAAAAAAAATGTCTTCTCTCTGTTCAAACTCTGCAACTTCTCTTAGCTCTACTGTCTCCTTCCAATCCAAAAATCCTCTTCTTCACACCATCTATAACTTCTTTCCTTCAATCAAAACACACTCTTATTTCCCATATACAGTTATCCGGTGCTCAATTCAAAAGCGACCTGAATATATACCGAGTAAAATCGCCGACCATAAATACGTACGCATTTTCGACACGACTCTCCGCGATGGAGAGCAATCCCCGGGCGCTACGATGACTACGAAAGAAAAATTAGATGTTGCCCGTCAATTAGCGAAACTCGGAGTTGACATAATCGAAGCTGGGTTTCCAGCTTCATCTGAAGCTGATTTTGAAGCTGTGAGATTAATAGCAGAGGAAATTGGAAATAATTATAGTGACGGTGATTATGTGCCGGTGATTTGTGGATTAGCGAGGTGTAATAAGAGGGATATTGATAAAGCGTGGGAAGCTGTGAAGTGTGCGAAGAAACCTAGGGTTCATACGTTTATAGCGACGAGTGAGATACATATGAAGTATAAGTTGAAGATGAGTAAAGAAGAAGTAGTGGAGAAAGCGCGGAGTATGGTTGCTTATGCGAGGAGCTTGGGGTGTGAGGATGTTGAATTTAGCCCTGAAGATGCCGGAAGGTTTGCATTTTTAACTTATGCAGATGAAAATAATGCACATTTGGTCTATGATTTTCAATCTAGTGTTTGTTTGGTAGGAAGGAAAATATTTTAAGAAAATAATATAGTTTCTATTAACCAATTCCCAAAAATATTTTCCTGTTATTAAAAGGAGAAATAAAGATATTCTTTGCTTGTGTTTTTCTCTATAGTCCATTTGAAATAATTTTTAAATTATAAAAAGAGTGTTGGATAGTGAGACAAAGTTACTACTGGGAAAAATATTTTCAAATGTACCAAACGCACCCCTGTTTTCTGAACCATTAGGTCATTGCTTTTAAGTTTTCGCTTCATACTGCTGACCCCACTTCCCCAGGGCATAATTATTGCATTTGGATATTTTTGTTTTATGATATGATGAAAATGTCTATTATGTGGTGGTTGTTTCAAAAATCTTAAAGAATAATTTTTCCATTTTTTTTTTTGCAACTAAACTTTTATTAGTGTTAAAACTGATTTTTTTTTTATAAAAAATTTGGGCAAAAAATGTTCCGCAATTTTCATGAACCAAAGTTTCTGATTCAATTTAGTACAACTAAAACACTCCACCTAAGTGGGCGTTTGGACATAAGAATTGTAAAATTCCAAAAAAAAGTGAAAATGGTATTTGAAAATTAGAATTGTGTTTGGACATGAATATAATTTTGGGTTGTTTTTGAAATTTTGTGAGTGATCTAAGTGAAAATTTTGAAAAACAGCATTTTGGAGTTTTTCAAATTTTTAAAAAATTCCAAAATGCATCTTCAAGTGAAAATTAGAAATTTTATGAACAAACACTGATTCGAAAAAAAGTGAAATTTTTTCCAAAATAAAGGAAAAATTTTCTTATGCCCCAACGGGCTCTAAGTGGGCATTTGGACATAAGAATTGTAAAATTTCAAAAAAGGGTTAAAAAAAATTTCAAGTGAAAATGGTATTTGAAATTTAGAGTTGTGTTTGGACATGAATAAAATTTTAGGTTTTTCTTAAAGTTTTGTGAATGATTTGGTGAAAATTTTGAAAAATAGCCTTTTGGAGTTTTTCAAATTTTTGAAAATTTCCAATATGCATCTACAAGTGAAAGTTGAAATTTTTTTTTGAACAAAAGCTGATTTCGGAAAAAAGTGAAATTATTTTGGAAAAAAGGAAAAAATTTCTTATGTCCAAACGGGCTCTAAGTATAGGCTATGGACAGAGTTTGTGAATTTGGGAATGTGGAGTGCGTAGAACGTATTCTTTTGGTTGTTTTATTGTATTCAGCTTACTATCCACGCAGTTAAGGGTTATTCTTCTTTTGAGTAATTAGTTGATTGCTTGGTGGACTGTCCTGGATGAATTTAGTTGTTTATTTAAATGGTGAGAATATAGTTGGTATATGGCCCTTAAAACTTTGAAAAGGCAATATTCTCTAGAGTCTCTTTAAATTGGTTCGTTTACTAAAGATACATGTTGATTGCATTATTCTAAGAATCATATATGAGTACATTTAATTATTTTGCAATATAATAATGCTTTCAGGTCTCGTGGAAAAACTTTATAGTAATTACTACTCGTCGATATTATTATGCCTTTTTGTATAATGAGTGGTATGGACTTTGAATTCTTTTTGACTCAAAGAAAAGTCTTGAACTTTACCTTTGTCTATATTAGTGGGAGACAATAAGTACCGAAATGATCGAGGTGCGTACAAGTCGATTCAAATACCATTAATTATAAAAAAAGTTTTAAACTTTAAAGAACCAAACTTGCTATTGCTTTCACGTCTAAAAGATTGAAGACTACTTTACTAATGGGTCGTTTGGTTCATGAGATAAGAGATATTAATCCCGGGATAAAATGTGGAATTATTTAATCTCGTGTTTAGTTGGATTTTTATTTTCGGTATAAGCAATTTCATAGTTAGTTATACCACAACTTTGGTATTATTTGTAGACCACATTCAATATGGTATAACAATCTAATCCTGCGATAAAACAACTAAATGACAAATGTCCCTTGTTTAACCAAAAACAGAATTCTCGGTCAAAGTCAATATCTAGAAGAAATCGGGTTACTGATAACCAAGATTTACTTCACTTTCCCAATGATTTTAGAAGAAATAGATCAAAGAATGAAAATAATTGACTGAGAAAATAAGAAATGAACTAATAATCACTCCCAAAAATTAGGGCTTAAAGCTTGGAGAATAACGCAAAGAATACTAGTATGGATTTCAATAATAATCGTTGCTTCTCTTTACAAATGAATGTCAGCCCTTATATAGGAGCGTACAATTGTAACAGTTCCCTTACTTACTTTGGGCCCATTGATGGGATTAATTGTATTGATTGCCCTATACAGCATGTAACTGTAACAGAAATATTTATGACTAGGATTCCGTTTAACTGCATCGATTTTCCTTCCTTATTTACTTCTGGTTCGTGTATCTTTCCATCTTTGCAGCCTTTATTCATTCCGCACCTATTTTCCTTTTACAGTTGTCAGGTCCGTTTCTCTCCTCAATATAACCCCGTGGGTGTTCCTCCCGTGCCTTTTCCTGCACTCTTTAATTCCTTATGTCAACATTCCACGTATCACGCCTCGTCAACTTGCTAACAGTCCACGTGTAATGTCTTTTTTCCACCAATGCATCCCTCTCTCTAAAGCTCCCCTTCCAAATTCCTTAAGATGACTAAGGTTAAAATTTAAAATAAAAATTTATCCAAGTTTATCTATTGTAGAACAAAACACATGGTTTTAATCCAATGAACCAACATCTACCAAAAAAGATATTTTTCTATTAAATCATTTTGTTCTGTCTTCCATCTAAAAAAGAATGATATATTTCAGATTTCTAGAGGTAAAGGAGTTGTTCTTTGATGGTGACTTTTTCATATGCCTTTTACATATTTTGAATTGCTAATTATTGTAACTTATACTCCCTCCGTTCCAAATTAGATGAGGTACTTTACTTTTTAGTATGTTTGAAAATAAATAACACATTTCTAAATTTGAGAATAATTCAACTTTAAACTTTTCATTTTATTCATTTCACCCTTAATGAAAAGTTTTTATAACCACACAAATGTCATAGCCCCACAAAACTTTTACCCTTAAGCTTTTAAGACCACAAGTTTCAAAAGTCTTTTTTTTCTTAAACTCCGTGCCGAGTCAAACTACTTCATCTAAGTAAACGGAGGGAGTAGTACTTTTAATGTAATTTCCAAATATGTAAATTTTATTTCAAAAAGCTTAAAGATTTTATGTCTGAATTCTCCGACAAAATTAAGAAGTTTGACCCTCGAAATCCACATGTATCAATTTTTTTTGAGATGGAGGGGGTACTATTTAATCCCCGTATTATAACCCACATTTGTAATTCTAGTATAACTTATTTGCAAACTAAACGGCCTAATAGTATTGAAATTGGGGAAAATGAAACACTTTCTTGCCCTTGCTTGGAAGTTGGATCTATTGACCAACTTTCTCTTCTAGACTGAGTGTATGTTTCCTGTTTATAGGTCCGAGCGTGAGTTCCTTTATCATATCCTTGGAGAAGTTATTAAAGCTGGTGCAACAACCCTTAACATACCTGATACTGTTGGATACACTGTGCCCACTGAATTTGGACAATTAATTGCTGACATAAAAGCCAATACCCCAGGAATTGAAAATGTGATCATTTCAACCCACTGCCAGAATGATCTTGGACTTTCTACTGCCAACACTTTAGCTGTACGTGCTCAATTTCTCCTGTGCCTAATGGTTATATGCTAGCTTAAGTTATATGAAAATTGATGCATGTTCAATTTCAGGGAGCTTGTGCAGGGGCAAGACAAGTAGAAGTGACCATCAATGGCATTGGTGAAAGAGCTGGAAATGCTTCTCTGGAGGAGGTGGGTGAGGGTCTTGTATGATGAAACTTCAGGTTCTTACTTGCATGATTTGAGGTCCACAAGAAAGGGGTCAGTAGTAGGTGGTAAGAGAAGGCATTAATGAGATTGTACAGCATAGGCTGTACAATGTTTTATCTATGGTATCATGAGTCTTTCCAGTCTTTTCCAAATTAAAAGGATGCCTTAATCTAGTCCTTCACACTCAATAACAAAGGAGTAGAAATAGTGTAACTGTTTAATGCTTATTTATGGAAGTTATTACTATTTTCTTTGTTAGAATTGGATGACAAAAAAAGTTGGATGAAGAAGAGTAAAAACAAGTACATACGTCTAACTATTTTGCCATATACTCCCTCCGTTCAAATTTATGTGAACCTGTTTGACTGGGCACGGAGTTTAAGAAAAAAATGAAGACTTTTGAAATTTGTGGTCCTAAACAAGTCAAAAAGGGGCTCAGAGTATTTGTGTGGTTATAAAAACTTCTCATTAAGGGTAGAATTGTAAGTTAAAGCTAAATTGTTACCAAATATAGAAAGGGTTCATTCTTTTTGGAACGGATCAAAAAGGAAATAGGTTCACATAAAGTGGAACAGAGGGAGTAATAGGTTTTATAATGTTCCTATATTTACTAAAAACGAAAGAAAGATGGATACTTCTCTTTTTGATAAGGAAAAGAGAAGGGGGTCAATACTCAATTTGAGACAAGGGAGTTTTTTTCCTTTTTTATACCTGTTCAAAAAACATTTGTAGTTTTGTAGGAACAACAACAACTACAACAACTACAAACCCAGTATATTCCCACAAGTGGGGTCTGGGGAGTGCGTATGCAGATCTTACCCCTAGGTAGAGAGGCAGCTTCCAATAGATAGTTTTGTAAGAAATAAAGGCTTTATTCCCTGTACTATTAATTATAACTTTCTCGGTTGCATAGTTCTAAAAAGGTGATATACAATCACCTTGATAGTAGTAATTGTTCGAGTTGAATTAACTCTTGCTTTAGAAAATGTTTCCAGTCAAATCAGGACATTTGATATGGTGTCAAAGGAGTATGTGTTGGTCTACTTACAAAGATGAGCTTGCTCATGAAATTATGAAATATCTAGAAAGGATGCCTGTTTTCATTTATATGTTTTCATGTTTCTGAATCAAAGCTCCAGAAAATATGGAGGATCATGTTTCCTTTAGACTTTAGTACATTTTTCGCTGTTGTTGAGATTGCTAAAACCGTTTAGTTGTATGTTTTCCCTTCTCTCTGAAAATTTGACGAGGCATGATATGCAGCAGCCAAAGGATAGAAAGAAAGAAAACTTTGGATAAATGAATATGATAAAATGCTGATCTAATATCCTCTTCTTGAGGTTGGTACTCCAACAATAACAACAACAAAGCCAGTGTAATCCCATAAGTGGGGTCTGGGAGAATAATGTGTACGCAGACCTTACCCCTACCTTGTGAAGGTAGAGAGGCTGTTTCCGGTAGACCCTCGGCTCAAGGAATGAAGTTGGTACTCCCTATGCTCCAAATTGAAATGTTTGGCTTTCCTTTTTGGAGTAGCTCCTAGCTACGAGTTATATCATGTCACTTTCTATGTTTTAAGCTCTAATTATTTCCTTTTTGAACTCTTGGAAAAAAGGATTAATGAAGTTTTAGCACTCTGTGATCTGCCATCTGATGTCAAGTAATTCACATAAAATATTCCAAAAAATACAAGCAATGTCAAAATAGGACATGTAAGTATTGACAAGGGTTCACACAGTAAAATCTAAGCCCTGACCAACTCTTCCTGTCCTGGTAAATGCTTGTTCATCTTCCAACAGGTTTCATACTGAATTTGGTGTAATATTTGCTTATGTATATGACGGACTAGCTACAACAACTTGCCTCAATCCCCAACAAGTTGTAGTCGGCTATATGAATCCTCATTCCTTCATTTAAGCTCAACTCATGTCATCATCATACAAAATAAAATAAAAGTGAAAAATCATATTAGAAATTCTCTAACAAGTCTAAAGCCTATTCCCAACTAGTAGATATCACCTATATGAATCATCTTCTTCCATTGTGCCTATTTTTAGCCAAGTCATCATGATTCCAAGGATTCTTAGGTCTTTCGTGACATATGACGGACCAACGTAAGTTGCTCGGACACGGGTGCGGATCCTTCAAGATGTAAATTCTAAGATTCAGGGATATGGATATGGGTGGGGGGATCCGACTAAAAATATTTCAGAAAAATAAAAATATAAAAATATCTCCAAATTATGAGAATTTTTGTGGAATACTTACATATAGTTTGTAAAGTGTGCATTTCTTTTTTATTCTCAAGTTGTAGGTAAGTAAAAGATTGATTCCTAGATAAGGTATGCTATTTTCTTTAAATTTACCCTAGTTTTGGTTCTGATTTCGGGAATCAAATAATATTTCGTCTCTAATTTTTCCGCCCGTCGTGGTCAAAGTATCGAAAATTGTTTGACCAGATCCGGTATGGAGATCCCATACCCATACCCATACCCATACCCATACCCATACTAGTGTCGTGTCGACACGGATGCGGCACCTAAACTGCCATGTCGGAGCAACTTAGGGACCAGCTACTTTTCTTTATTTGTTTTTCCGAAGACAAATAATATGACTTGAATAGTGCAAACTTGCAACCAATACTGGAATATTTTATGTGACAGTTGAAAACAAACAACTGACTTGTATAGGAATTCTTTTACCTCTTTGGTACATTTGTCTGTTTGGTCATAGTCTTGTGCTTTCCTTATTTCGTTTTAACTTTTTACCTTTTTCCTCTAATGAAATAGGTTGTAATGGCCTTAAAATGTCGCGGAGAGCAAGTATTAGGTGGCCTCTACACGGGGATTAATACTCAACACATTGTCCCGACGAGCAAAATGGTATCATACCCCTAGTTTCATCCTAATCCTCTAGAGACCTTTACCCATTAAACTGTGTTTTCTGTGTGTTTTATTGCTGACATATAGCTATGCAGGTGGAGGAGTACACTGGGCTTCAAGTGCAGCCACATAAGGCCATTGTTGGAGCTAATGCATTTGCTCATGAAAGTGGCATCCATCAGGTTTGTGTTACTTTCTCTAATTATAGCATGGATGCACCTAGACTTAATGTTGTAATATTTCCTTCATATTGCTAAGGCTGAACATAACATTTAGCTATTTAAGTTGATAGATCCATTCGTTAATCTACTAGTGTATTGTGTTTTACTGCCTCCTTTTGAGACAGTGGACACTTATTCAGTGTTCTCTGAAACTTAAATACGTGTATATATTTTGTGCAAGTTTGATGAAATGAAATTATCTATAGAAAAAGAAAACAAAATGGAATGTATAATATCAATTAAGCTGTATCACCAGCATGCTAGGTTCCAGAAGTGCTTCGGTTTAAGGTGCTAGCTCAAAATAATGATGTATGGGGCTGTTTTATGAGTAATTCAGGTTGTCTATGTATCTAACATTAAGTTGATGCCTAGAAGTTAAAAGGTTCAGAAAATCAGAAAAGAAGAAAAGAAGGGAAAGAGATCACTAGTTTTGGGAATTCATCATCAAACCAAAACTTGCTGAAAAGCTTGACGAAATTGTGAGAAATTAGAGAAAAAGAGGAGATATGTGGGAAACTTGATCATTTTATGAAATACAAGACATACTGATTTACTATATTTGTTCAATATGGGAAATGTTAAATTTAAGAACTTATCTCTTCTTATATTTCAAAATTTAGCATTCTAACTGTTTACCTCGAAATACGAGTAACAATTAAACTTGTAATGTGGTTATAAGGATACGTGATCTGATTCAACGCCAATTGATAAATGACTAGATAAATAAATGAATTAAATGATTAAGATGAATCAAACCAGTGTAGTTGCAGGCTATCGTCCCTGATTGGAACAGGCTCGAGATCAAGCGATAAGAACAACAAGAATAATAGTAAGTTATAAGCAAGTAAAAGAGCAGTGTATTGTTATTTCTTAGTCAGTCTCCCTTACAAATGAACAGGATTCCTCTTTATATAGTAGAGGAATCCTAAATAAGGTATAACTCTAATTTCGGAAGTAAAATCCATGATTGGTATCAATAACCATCAGCGGTTCTGTCGGTTCCGAGATTCACGCCACGATCCTCGACCAATCACGGATATCTTGCTCTTTCCATTACTAATCTATCCCCGATGTTACTGGTGTCTATCTTCCCTGGCTTTGATTGACACCAACCTCGATCTCGAACTCGATGCCTTAGCTCTTCGATGCAACGTCCTTGTTTCGATCAAATAGTGAAATCGGGTAGCCCCGATTTCTACCGTATAGACTAACATTATTAACATTCAAGTCCCCTCTCAAGTTAGATAAACCAACTTGAGGTTTCTTTAAAAATAAGAGTAAATAATCGCTAGAAAGACTTGTTGAAAACCATTGAAGAATTACTGAATCTCGCATGGGAAAGGCTTTGGTCCCCAGAATATCATCGGAAATTGTTTCCAGAAAAATGGCTAGAAAGAGGCATGTGTGGTAGAGTGATGAGAACTTAAATGGCTAACAGATGGTCGAGGTGAAGGACTGACGGGTTTCTAGGATGGCAAGCTTACGAAGAAGGGTTGCATGTGATGCCTTAGGCAAACCTTATATCGAAAAAAGGAGGGAAATATGAAGTACTATATAAGAGAGTAGAAGTTCACATGGTACGTGCATTTTACGCACGAAAGTGGCGTAGTCCTAAGGACAAATTCGTGAGTTTTGTCGGGTCAAACCAAACAATACATGCCATGAGCTTATGCTATGATCGTACCTATGTTGGTGGGATATAGCAGGTAACAGGGAGAATAATCGAGGTACGCGCAAGTTGGCCATACACCAAATTTATCTAAAGAGAATAAGAGAGAGAGGCATGTGTTCCCTGAATCTCATGGGAAAGTTAATTCTGGAACAATGGTCAAACAGAGGAAGGCCACCGAAATTGTCATCGGAAAGGCTCTGTTGCAAGAACAACTGCAGGAAAATAGGCAAAGAGGCACAACGGTAGGAAAAGAGGCACAGCCACGAAAAGAGCCAGGTGTTGGCAGAACAATAAAAGAGATATGGTGCTTGTTGGAATCGAAATAATCAAGTATCACGGGAAGTTAACAAAGTAAGCCTTGAACGACATTAAATCAGATGACAAAAAAAAAAATTTAACGTGGTTTGGTCAATCGACCTACATAGGAGTAATTCACTAATATAAAACAGAATACAAAAAATATCGAGAAAATACTTCTTCCCTAAAAAAGATTCTCTTATGACTATATTGTGGATGTCGTTAAAATGAGAAGGAAGGATTTTTAGTTTATAGAGATCCAAAACCTTTTCTCCAAGAAAAGGATTAGCCAAATATAAAAGATTTATGTTTTCCTTTAGGAAAAGTAAAATCAATTATGGTAAATGCTTTGTCTTTTCTTCAAGAGAAAGTAAAATTCAAATATGGTAAGAAACAACAAACAGCAAACAAATCCAGTGGAATCCCACTAGTGGAGTCTGGGGAGAATACCGTCTACACAGCCTTACCCCTAGCTTGTGTAGGTAGAGAGGCTATTTTCGATAGACCCCCGGCTCAGATCAACATAGTCACAGCAACAACGATATAGCAATAGAAGAGTCATGGAAAAGCAACAACATCAAAGTAGCAACAAAACCGAAACGGAAGCAACATCTAATAGTGATAGACATCCAAGAATATGACAAAATAAGAGTAATACTAAAACTACTGATGAGGACACGAAGAAAGCTCTACTACCTACTAACCTTCTACCCTAATTCTCGACTTCCAGAACTTTCTACCAAGGGTCTTGTCCTTAGTAAGCTTAAGAAACACCATGTCCTGCCTGATTGCCTCTCTCCATTACTTCTTCGGCCTTCCTCTACCTCTCCTTATACTCACAAAAAAACCTCTCACACCTCCTCACGTGGGTGTCAATGCATCTCCTCATCACATGCCTGAACCATCTCAGCCTCACTTTTCGCATCTTATTCTTCATGAGGGCTACCCCTATCTTTTCCCAAATATCTTCGTTTCTGACCCTATCCTTCCTAGTATGCCACACGTCCACATCAGCATCCTCGTTTCCGCTACTTTCATTTTCTGGACATGAGAGTTCTTAACTGGCTAACATAATCGGTCTAACCACTACTCCTAAGAACTTACCTTTAATTATAGAAGGCACATTCTTATAACACAAGACACCAGGAACAAACCTCCATTTCATCCATCTTGCTTCAATACGGTGTGTGATATCCTAATCAATCTAGCCTATACTGCTTCTTCTCCCCACATTTGGCCCCAAGTTCTTCATATAGTCGTCTGAATGCCATCGTCTTCACCGCCGTAACCACTAACTTCACCTCCTTATTGGCCGTCTTATACCACTTTTTATTCGTTCTCTTCTACTCCTCGTCTTTGCTTTCCATCAACTTCAAATATGCCGCCTTTTTTGTTTCTACATTCCCTTAGACCTCTATATTCCACCACTAGTCCCCTCTTGTCCACTAGAGTAGCTCTTCGAAACTCCCAACACCTCTCTAGGAAGCAGCTTGTTGTCCTGGTCGATATACTACTGGTATCCCCACTACTCGTCGAGGCCCCCATAGCCCTCATCTTCTCCCCCAACTCCTGAGATCTATCCTTAGCCAAGGTTCCCCACTTGATCTTAGGTTTTACAATATACAACCCTCTTTTTCCTATCTCTCTTAATCATCAAGTCCATAACCAAGAGCCTATACGATCATGAGATTCTCATTCGGGATAATCTTACAATCCGTGCATAAACTTCTGTCACCCTTCCTAAGAAGAAGGTAATCAATCTGGGTCTTGGCCATCATACTCTGGAAGGTGACCAAGTGCTCCTCCTTTTCTGGATAACTCGAATTAGCTATCACCAAATCAAAAGTTTTAGGGAAATCCAATAGCGAGATCCCACCTTTGTTTCTATCCCCGAAATCGAAGCCGCCATGTACATTGTCATATCCCTTAGAGCTCATCCTTATATGTCCATTAAAATCTCCTCCGAATAGTGGCTTCTCGGAGTGCGGAATAGCTCGAACCACCTTGTCCAAATCTTTCCAGAAGTGCCTCTTGACCTCCTCGTCCAAGCCGACTCGAGATGCCTATTCACTAATAACGTTGAAGGTAACCCCACGAACAACCAACTTAGTAGCCATCAGCCTATCATTCACCCTGCTAATCTCTACCACTTACTTCTTGAGATCCCTATCAACCAAATACATATCCGTTCTTGCCCCCAAGCCTCCTGAGTACCACAGTTTAAAACCGTCTACATCCCGTGCCTTAGTTCCCACCCGTCTAGTCTCCTGGACACAAGCTATGTTGATCTTACTCTTTTGGAGAATCTTCATTAGCTCTTTAGATTTTCCCTTCAAAGTACCTATGTTCCAAGACCTAATCCTCAGACTAGATGGTCCTTTGCCCCCGTTACCTCCCTTGCCCTCTGCCTCCCGCCCCACCCGAGGACAAGCTCTTACTTTACCATCTGTCACTAAAGTCGCTATACTCAAGGGTTGACTATGCATTCACTAAAGGGTCAACTATCGCTAACGGATAAACTATGCTAAAACTAGCACTGTAATCAAGAAATGAGCCTAAAATAATTGAATAAACACAAAAACTTAAAGGCACTAATAGTACAGATAAGCAAGCAGGTATTGTGCTAAGACTAGGGAAAACTATTGTAATTAACAAGGAATGGAGGTAGAAAGCGATAGGTGAATAGGAGGTATCAACTCTCGAGAGCTAGAACCTGGATTAGAGTCGGGGATGACGAGGCGTAGCTGCTGCTGCACGGCAGAATCAAATCCCAGATTCCTCTATGCGCCCAACTCTGCTGCCAACCGGATTTGCCCTCTTGCTGCCGCGTGAGCCTTATGCGATCTCTGATAGTAGCCGGAAAATATGTACCTGAACACAGAAAGCCAAGCAAGCAGGATTCCAAAAGAAAGAAGGAAGAGACGGCACGGTCACTGTTACCTCAGAATTGGTTACCGTTCAGATCTGGTGTAACCGAAATAGTCGCCGGCGGTAGGGGTAGAAGAGAAAGGCGAAAGGGGGGATAGAAAGTGGGGAGCCAGATAGATAAGAAAGGAAGAGACGAGAAGAAGAAACAGAAAAAGAGAAAGAAAAAGAAGAGCAGAGGCGAGAAGAACAAGAAGAGCAGAAGAGAAGATAGGAGAAGAGGAAGAGGAGGAAGGGCTACTTGTTGAAACCGGTGACTCGCCGGAGTTGGTGCTAAGAGACGTTAGCGTCGGTCAGTCAAGCAAGCAGAGAGAGAGAGAATCTCATTAAAAAATATGGTAAGAAAATCATGACAAAAACCTAACTGTGAGATTGCAAGAGTCACCGAATAAGAGGGCCGATGCCACTGAACCAGTCACCAAAAGAGGCATGATGCTGCTGGAAAGCTCACTAGAAAACAAGCAATATTGTTGGAACAATCATTGCAAAGAGGCCCATCTCCACCAAATCGATTACCGAAAAGAAGAAAGAATGCGAAATTTATGAAAAAAAAGAAGAAATATTTGGCTGGTCAAGCGACTTTAGGCATTGCCGGTATGCAAAAGCTGTTGATAATACTGTGTTCAAAATCCAGAAAATCAGAGAACTAAAGAAATGTTAGTTCAATAAACAAATCATAAATAATTTCGAGCCCACAAATTGTTTGTGTGTCCTTAAGGAATTTAATCGCTTCACTATTGCCCAAGGTTATGAATTAATTCCTTCCAGGATAGAACAAAATAACTATTCTGTGATAGCGGCACTACAAATCACAGAACTTCAGCGAACTCAACAAACAAAGCAAATCACACTTGACACTTGTATTTATTGGAAAAATAATGCAACAATGTAGTAAAGAGGGACAAGTTTTCAGATTTTCCATATGTAAAAATGTGGTCTAGATAATGAAAGGGTGAGATGAAGAGGTGCAATCCAAGAGGTACTTCTTCCATTTCCCATTCACACCCTTTAAAAAGAAACCCCAACAATCCCCCACATGAATGGGGAATGACTATCTGAAAATATGCATGCATAAAACTGTGTGATGCACAAGTAACGATTAATCGCATCTGGATAAGTAGGTTTCCCTTTGAACTTTCCGTTGTGAACTTATGTCGGATATACTCGGTCAATCGGTAGATTTGATATCTTTGAACCGTCGAGCTTTGGTGTATACCTAGACAACCATAAGTCACACAATCAATCCTTAACCGTCTTTGGTTCTCATTGTTGTGTTCGTTTCAGCCATGAACACCACCTGGTTTATAAGTGCGTAGAGAACTGGCCTTACAGAATTCTCCTTGAAGCGATTCACACTTCACACTTACATAGGTGATTCCTAAACGTGTTATCCCGTAGAGACACTATTTGATATACCCCGTATCAAACTTAGAAACCATTAAAAAGCCTTAAAGCTTTATCCTTGGTAACGAACATTGTCTCATCATGAGAATGGACCAAAAAGAAATTTTATTTGACAATGTTGAACCGTCGTTAATGACTTTGTTTGAGCTCCTTGAACCTAGATCTTGGGATCTCCAGTATTCTAGGTATAGTTACCACCACAATGACTTGTCCTCGGCCATAGTCCTATTCTCCTCGATGATCTAGTTAGGCCTTTTGTAAATGGATCCGATACATTATCGCTTGACTTCACATAGTCAATTATGATAATTCCCCTAGAGAGTAGTCTAGCGATTTTATATCTTCGTCGTTTTTGACAAGATTTTTCGTTATTCATAATGCTCCCAGCCCTTCCTATTGCCGCATGACTATCGCAATGTATGCATATAGGTGCCAATATTTTGGGCTAAGATGGAATTTTTTCAAGAAATTCCGGAGCCATTCAACTTCTTCACCGCCCTTGTCTAAGGCTATAAACTCAGCCTCCATTGTAGAGCGGCAATGTACGTTTGTTTGGACGATTTCCAAGACATTGCTCCGCCACTAATTGTAAAAATATATCCACTTGTGGATGTAGTTTAGGTTGATCCGGTGATCCAATTTGCATCACTCTACCCCTTAATAACTGCAGGATACTTATTATAGTGCAATGCAATGTCATGGATATATTTCAAATATCCCAAAACTCATTTTATTGTCATGATAGTTCAATGCGAACTTCCTTATGTCGTAGACTAATACATTTCGACCTTCTATTGCATATCATATTATTGACCACACTTAATGTAGTAATAGTATATTATAACAACAACTGGAATGATTGGCATCAGTTGTGGCCACATATATAACACATTTCGCAATCACTCCACCATTTTCAAGCATTTTGTATTCTATTAATTCATACGTATATATGATATGCAAATTATAGCACCTTCATTCATGAAACAAATCCAACTTGAAATAGATTTTGGTCATGTTCGTCAGTTGGTTCACCTTATTATAGACCAACGTATTAATACATTCGTTCATGAACGGTCATGTTTATACAAAACATACAAACGCACTTGTCATGAAAAGTCACAGCCTTCCAGGTGACACCCTTTCATAAAAGAGCTAAACATTATAAATGTTCAAGAAAGAATAAATCGTTTCTGGAAAGGCACGTAAACGTCTTTCGAATTTATAATTTCATCACTAGTCATCACTAAGACTGAACAAGTAATGAATTCACCGACTATCATATCAATGTCCATTAAGGATTGGTGGGATCAAAAATTATATCATTTAAACATTACGTCTAACATTGGCTTTTGTCGTGCATCAGCTAAGGCCCCCACATTTTTGTCATGCATAAGCTAAAAGCCCCCACATTTTAAATATTTCATCAATATATCATCCACATATAATCAAATAATGACTATATGATTTGAAGTATTCTTAACGTAAACACATTTGTTATACTCATTAATTTGAAACCATTTGATAATATTGTTTGGTCAAATTTCGTATGCCATCATGAGATTCTGATTAATTTCTTAATCTCAATTCTAGTCCAACAGAAGAACACAAAAGCACCACTTTTAACTTTGAGTGCAGATTTTGTCTTCTGTCACCATAATCATGATTCGAGTAATCCACTCTAATTTTCTTTTCCAGCCATCCGAAATTTAAATTCCTTAAGATTGTTGATAATACTGTGTTCAAAATCCAGAAAATCAGAGAATGTAAAGAAATGCTAATTCAATAAACAAATAATAAAATAATTTCGAGCCCACAAATTGCTTGTGTGTTCTTAATAAATTTAATCCCCTCACTGTTGTCCAAGGTTATGGATTTATTCCTCCTAGGATAGAACTAAATAACTATTCTGCGATAGCGGCACTACAAATCACAGAACTTCAGCGAACTCAACAAACGGACCAAATCACACTTGACACTTATATTTATTTGAAAAATAATGCAACAATGTAGTAAAGAAGGGACAAGTTTTCAGATTTTCCATATGTAAAAATGAGGCCAAGCCTCTAAATTTATAGACAATTAAAGGGTGAGATGAAGAGGTGCAATCCAAGAGGTGCCTCTTCCATTTCCCGTTCACACCCTTTAAAAAGAAATCCCAACATAAGCTATCTAGATCTCTAACAAGATTGTAAATAATTTGATACCATGTGAGAGATAAGAGAATAGAAGAAGAGACGTTTTAGAAGTAATTAAGAATGTAAGCTTTACAATGGCTTGCCAAACCAGTATAAAGACTTTTCATCCATCAAAGAGAGAAACCCTCAAGTCCAAAAAGAATCATCCCATTAGAAGCCTCCATGTATATTTTTTTTAGCCGTTATATACAGAATACCATTGGTGCTCATAGTCCAGGAGGTTAAAAATTAACTTCAAGAGATGTAACCACTCTTTCATCTCTGAGATTTTCCATTTAGTTTTTGGCTTTTTCACTTAAAGGTGCACATTTACTGTTACTTTCTCTCTCTTAATCTATCAATGTATATTCAACATGTCTGTTATAGCTCAATCCAATGATTTTTTCGGCTGACTGTTCAGATTCATCTTGGACTTAAATTATTTCTGTTATTATTCGTTGATTATTTGTAGTAAGCTAACCATCGGTCCCTCTGTCTTTTTCGTTGTCTAGTGATTAGTTTTTCTAACTTTCAATAATCGTACAGTTCTCAACTAATGAAGCGATAATAATCTAAGTCTCTTTTGTCTTTTCACTTCTCTTTTTATATGTTATAGGATGGAATGTTAAAACACAAAGACACCTATGAGATTATATCTCCTGAAGATATTGGGCTTAATCGTGCTAATGAAGCCGGTATTGTCCTTGGGAAACTCAGGTATGATCTTGTTCTCCAGCCAATAATTATTTTTGTAATGTCATAGTGATCATTCAATTTCTTTGCTTTCATCTATATTTATAATATGCTCTTTACTTTGCTTTCACATTTCATATTTCCTTTTAGTCGGTAATATGGAAAAATATTTTAGTACTGGAATCTAGCTCCATGAACTCCGTGCCGTTAGACTTTGCTTTTACAATTACTATTTCCGTCTAGTCGCTATCATGCAAATATTTCTTTTAGTACTGAAATAGTGCTCCATGAACTCCATAATGTTACTATTTTTGACAGTAAATCGTCCTCCATTGTTATAAAGTAGTATTTCAGTATTTAGTATCTCTCTTTTATGTTGAGCTAAAATCTTGTTGAGATTTTCTTGCTATAATTTCATGTTTGTCACTATCGTATCACAACATCTTTATAATCTTTACCAATCTCCATCTCGCCCTCGTAATTTCTCATTTACTACATTCACATTGAACTACATCCTTCCTTTTAGGAAATTGATAACATTTTGAAAACTTTTTGCAGTGGGCGCCATGCATTGAAATCCAAAATGCTTGAGGTAAGTGACATGCCCTATCAATTGCATATTCCGTATATTTTAAAAATAGGGATCAATCGATTTAATCCTACTCCAGCTTGGATATGACATTGAGGGAAAAGAACTAGAGGACCTCTTCTGGCGATTTAAGTCCGTGGCTGAGAAGAAAAAGGTAACTGAATGGTTCATATTCTCATTACCCGGCGCTAGAATTTGTGTTGTCCATAGTTTCTTCAGTTCATTCATGAGCGTTATCTGGTCTGAAAGCAATATACAAGCTGGAGCAGAGGAAATGTTTTGTCTCTTTGTTGATCTTCCCTACTACTGCTCTTTCAGAAAGTTACAGATGATGACATAATAGCACTGATGTCAGATGAAGTTTTCCAGCCTCAAGTTGTTTGGCAACTTGCAGATGTACAGGTACATGAAATTCTTTCTCTGTTTTTGCAGGTCTTTTTTGATTTCTGAGTTCTGGATTATTAAGAATAGTTCAGCTATTCAAATGATTCACTGCTCAATGTACAGATTACCTGTGGAAGTCTTGGCCTCTCTACAGCAACTGTTAAGCTTATTGACAGTGATGGTCAAGATCATGTTGCTTGTTCTGTTGGAACCGGACCAGTTGATGCAGCGTATAAGGCAGTTGACCTCATTGTAAAGGTTTAAAATGGAACTGAAGCTCTCATAATAGTGTAGCTTGTCACCCTAGTAGGACAGAGAATTTATTGCTAGCAGCTTTATAGGAATGTTATCCAATTTTGCAGTTGCTTTGATTGGTAAAAGCCTCCGTAAGGCCGAGTCATATTCAAAGACCACACGGATAATAATTGCATGGTCTCCCTGGCTTGTTAATGCATCAGGTTTGAGTTTTTGTTGGACAAGCATTTGAAGTAGGATTGTTCTTGTTGATAGACATATTAGCTGAGTTCTGTTTCATTTTCATTACAAGCATCCTGGTCAGTGGATTAATTATGAGGTTTGCTTTTCATGGAAAGGGTAATTCCTCTCCGTAGTAGCCTAAAAAAGAAAACTATGTTAGACATGCATTTCAAGCCAGAATCCTGCACTTTTAGTTGTGAAACTTTGCCTTTTATGCTGTGCTTTATAATGTTCGCCAACTGCATCAATATGCTGTTCCTCATTATGCAGGTACCTATAACACTCCTCGAGTATTCCATGAATGCAGTCACAGAAGGTATAGATGCCATAGCCTCAACCAGAGTGTTAATCCGCGGGGAGGATGACCATGCTATAACCAATAGTTCAATTGGACCGACTCTTCACCGTACATTTAGGTGTGAAATTTACTTTAAATATTGTTTGCCTTTATCCCTTTCAGTTCTTTCATGTAGAGTAGGGGAACATGGACATGACAGCGAGTCGGAGATAAGTGTTTACATGGATCATTTTCCAAAGAATGACACAGTATGGAAGTGAAATGTAGCCAATGCTATAAATCTAGGGCCAACATAAGAATATAAAATTATATAAAAAATATGAACGGTAACAAAATTTGGTATCTGTCAGACATTTATATAATATAAAATATATCACAGGTTATGAATCTCAGTAGCTAAATGTCAAACAATATAAACTAATACAATTCATACTTTAAGCAGAATCCTAAATCGACACCACATTTTTGTTTATGCTACTGCAACCCTCATTCATGTACAAATGCATCAGGGACCTTTCGAACACTGCTTGCGTCCAACTGTCAATCTGAGTGTTCTTTCTACTCCTCTTTTGTCGGTTGACTTATTCTAAGAAACTCCAGTCCCAGTGTGTCCAACAAACAGGAGAGTCAAATGCTCAACAAAGTAATTACATGCTTGACCGTATATCAAAACATGTCCTACCTATGCATGCGTCCAGTATGTATGTTGATACATGAATATCATCTCTCCAGGCGACTCGCGTGCTTACCGGAATAAATTCATCAGTTTTTCTTTTTGACGTGAAATGTTCTTGTCTTCTCTCTTCTGCCAGTGGAACTGGAGCTGATATGGACGTTGTTATATCTAGTGTCCGAGCCTATATTGGTGCATTGAACAAAATGTTGAGTTTCGGGAAGCTGGTTTCGAGATACAACAAGCCTGAAGGTAGTGTGGTAGTATAAATGATGGTGTGTGATCAAGGAATAAACTCCTGCCTCCATCTCTTGCAAATTTATGTTCCAATTTCTTGTATCATTTCTCTTATCAATTGTATAGGAGTAGGGAACTTATCCAGCATTCTAGGACTGCCTGTAAGAACTGGCGATGGTAAACGGCAAATGTGAGTCATCGTGCATTTTCAATTACTCCTGTATTCTCTCCATTCTTCTGCAGGTTGATGTACAGCTTGTTGTTTATGCTGGAACAAAGCTTAAATATTTCTTAATGTATGAAAACCATTTGATCTTTGTGTTGTACCAATTAAACAGACACATTAATGATATAAGATGTGGTTTAGCTTTATGCTTATGCATTACTAAGTTGAGTTTCTTTTTGATTGTTAGTTACAGAAACTTCTCAGGTTTCCCCTGATCACATAGGTTTTCTAAGGGTTTCTAAATTTGCAAAATCTTTTACTGTTAATTTTTTTATTGATGATATTAACATTTATCTGGTTAATTGATTGATGTTCCTATCCAAAGGAGTATTGGGACTTTTTTTCAGTTTGCCATCTAAATTTATAATTACTTTTAATCCAAAATTTCTGATTTCTTTTTCGCAAGGGGCCGTCTTTCCTTTTTGTCCCTTTTAAGCACTTTATCCCTAATATTTACCTTCACCTTATAACTAGAGCCTCTTCCATTATGTGTTTGATATTTTGAAAATATTATATTGTGGATGTTCTTTTTTTGAACATAAAATGTACTTATATTAATAATAACTAGGGTACGTGACACGTTGCACGGTCGTTATTACACATGCCTCGATGGGCTAAAGTTATGCCTTTTAAGGCATTGTCATTACCTAATGCAGCCATATTATAACACATTTCAGTTGAACATTTTCTTACATAGGCAAAACCATCCTGATCTTTGTGACAGGCATCTATTACAAATTCAGGTGGTAAAACAAAGGAACATAACTTATTATAGCTAGTTTGCATAAGAGCTGCTTTTGCCAAAAGATGTGCTACCATGTTCCCCTCGCAGAAGCTATGCTTCATTGTGATCTCCCCTTGTAGCATTGCCTTCTCCATTAACCACCTGCATTCATAGATTAAATCATTGTAAGTTGTACAATCATCGTGAAGAAAATGTATGACCTCCGTGGCATCTGTCTCTACTTCAACTAGGAAGATTTTTTCCCTGATAATTAGTTGAAGTTCATGCCGTAATGCTTGTAATTCCGCTTGGATTGGTGTTGTTGCATGTATTTTTTTGAAATAGCACATTCTCCATTGGCCTTTGTTGTTACGAATAGCTCCGCTGATTCCCCCTTGAAGACAGTTGCTCCTAAAGGCACCATCAATGTTGATCTTATACCAACCTTTTGGAGGAGCCTGCCACTTTACATTAATGCTCATTTTTATGTTATTAATTGTAGCCCTAGACATTAGTAGGTTGTATTCAACAGCTTGGTCAACAACTCTTTTCGTATTGATATGATTAGTGATATTGTTTTGGTTGTTGTGATTTCTGTTGTTCCAAATTGCCCATAGGGCGAACGGGAATATATTATCCTATGTTATGTATTTATTGATCTTAGTGCGATTTACATTCCTATGAAGGTCAACCCAGTGAGTTGTATGCATTTGGGGGTTAATAGTCACACCCATTGATTGCCAAAATGATTGAGCAATGGTACATTTCCAGAAGATATGGATTATAGACTCATTGGTGTCTTTACATATTGGGTAGTTAGGGTCTATATTAACACCAATTTTGCCTAGGTAAGCTCTAGTAGGAAGACGTTTGTGTTAGCATTTCCATATAAAGATTTTAATCTTGTTAGGGCATTTGAGGTCCCAGATGCAATTGAAATTGAGGCTTGGAGATACTTGCTCATCAATTAGCTTGTAGCATGAATTTGTGGAGAACACACCATTATGGTTTATACTCCATATGAGATTATTGAGAGGTGTAATATGCCTATTGGGGTTTAAAGCATTGATGTTAGTGATAATACTTTCGGGTAGTTAAAAGTAAATTTTCTCTAGGTCCAAAGACTCTATATCACAAATATCCTTAATTTTTAAGCTATTTTCGTTAAGAGCTAAGGGGCCTATAATATTACTTCGAAGGTTGGTAATATTGGGATCCAGTTTGTATCCCAGACATTCATATTAGAATGTTGGTTTATTGACCACCTAATGCCCTTATTACAAACAGTCCATCCTTTTAGGAGACTGTTCCAAGTGTTTGAACAACCATTTGTTCTTCTACTTTTTCCATATATACTAATAAGAACTTTAGCCCAAAGAGAGGATGGATTATTAAGAATTCTCCATGCTAGGCTGGTTAGTAGGGCTAAGTTTTTTGACTTAGCTTTCTTAATACCTAGGCCACCTAGGACTTTTGTATTAGTAACAATGTTCCACCCAATTAGGTGAAGCCTTTTCTTTTCCCTCGTAGTTCCCCATAGGAAGTCTCTCTGTATTTTGTCTATTTCCTTTAGGATTTTGGTTGGTAGGAGAGATATTTGCATTAGGTGATTTGGAATTGTATTGAGAGTAGAGGCTACTAAGGTACCCCTGCCCGCCATACTTAACCACCTAGCATTCCAATTTTTAATCTAGCACGCATTTCGTCAATTAAATGTTGATAATCCTTGTGCTTAGGGTTGTTGTTAAGTATGGGAATGCCTAGGTATGTGCCAAAAGTGTTACTAATTTTAATGTCAAAGATCCTTGTAGCCGGGTCTTTGGTAGGGTCTTTGCAGCTTTTTAACACAAATAATTTGGATTTTTCTTTATTGATATTTAATCCAGAGAGGCAACAAAAGCTCTCCATGCTTCTCCAAATTTTTCTAATAGTTTTTGTATTGGCTTGACCTATTAGGGTGAGGTCATCAGCGAAGAATAAGTGTGATAAGGGGGGACACCTAGGATTTAGTTTAATAGTATCCCAATTCCATGTTTCTACTTGGTTATCAATATTTTTGGAAAGCATATCCATGCATACTATGAATAAGTTAGGAGACATGGGGTCACCTTGTCTAATACCCCTTGTGGGACAAAATTCTTTTGTTTTATTACCATTTACCAAGATGGAGATGGTACTTGTGGTAATGCAGCTAAGAATAAGGGCTGATATGTCAGGAGAAAAATTAAATTTTTTTAGTGTTCTGTAGATATAAGACCATTCTAATTTGTCGAATGCCTTTTCCAGATCAAGCTTTAGTATTAAACTTTCCGTTCCTTTGGTTGAGTTAAACTTTTTTAATACCTCTTGGATAATAATAGAATTATCACTAGCCCGCCTATCTTTTAGGTGTTGTAGGTAAGGCTTGACTCGATTGGCAATAACTTTGGTTATAACCTTGTAAATTGTGTTGCACAGGCTAATAGGCCTAAAAATTTTCAGGTTATTAACATTGTTGAATTTTGGGATTAAGCACAGATAAGTTTTGTTAATGTCATGGGGCATTATTTTGGTGTCAAAAATTTTGTGGCACAGATTTATGACCTTACTTCCTAGTATGTGCCAATTTTTTTGGAAAAAGAACGGGTGTAACCCGTCAGGGCCTGGGGCTTTGTAGGGTTTAAAGGAGAAAACAACTTCCCTTATCTCATGATTTCTTAAGAGTTTATCTAGGCTCGAGAGGTCAATTTTTGAGAAGCTTCCCTGTCCTTTTTAATAGTTAACCAGTTAGTTTTTTCGTGGGAGGTTGTAAAAATACTTGAGAAGTAATTTGTTATAGGGTTCATTAGGGAGGTTTGGTCCTCAATCCAATTTTCTGAGTTATCTTTGAAGAAGACAATGTTATTCCTCCGTCTTCTATTGGTGGCTTTAATATGGAAAAATTTGGTATTAGCATCCCCGTCATTTAACCAATTAACTCTAGAGCGTAGTTTCCAGCAGTCTTCTTCCATTTTTATAATGGTGTTATAGTCTTCAATGAGGGTTAATTCTAATTCTCTAAGGTAGTGACTTGTTGTATAGTTAGGAGAATTTTGTATTCCAGCAATTCTTTTCTAAATTTTCCCTTTTTTAGCAAAAATATTGTCAAAAGGTATTTTTTTTTCCATTCTAAAACATTATTTTTAAAAGACTCCATGCCTCCTACTATGTCTTTATTTTCCCAGCTATGTGACACAATCCTAGGAAAATCCGGATGGGAGCACCAAAAAGTTTCTATTCTAAAGGGCCTATGATAACTAGTGTTAATTCTATTGTTAAATTTTGATGAGAATAGGGTTATGGTCCGAGTGAATTTTGGGAAGGTGAGTTATGGTGACATTAGGAAAAGCTTGTAACCAATCTTCATTAGAGTAGACCCTATCTATTCTTTCCATGATTAGACCCTTTTTTCTTCTACGATGGTTGGACCATGTGTATTTACAACCCTTAAATCCTAAGCACTCTAGGTTACAATCATTCGGCAGTCTATTAGTGACTTAGCTCATTTTTTATTAATAATTCTACCATCAAATTTATCCCCGGAGTTCACTACTTCACTAAAGTCACCCCCAATTAACCAAGGTCCTTTGTAGTGATCATACATATTTCTAAGATTATTCCATAACAAATGTCTAACTGTTATGTCATTGTTAGCATAAATAGCACTAAATAACAAAGAGAGATTTTTGGGTTTTACCTCAATCATTGCATGTATTGCCTGACCATTCCTAGTGAAGTTGTTGACAGTCACCATGTCATGATTCCACAGGATAACTAAACCACCAGCTTGCCCAATTGCAGGAACCTCAATCAACTCAGTGAAGTTAAATTCTTCTAAGATAGATATATGACTCTCCATTTTGGTCTCCAATAAAGCAACTAAACATGGTCTGTAGATATCCATAAGCTCTCTAAAGTGCCTCCTAAAGTTGGCATTGTTAGCTCCTCTAACATTCCAAATTACAAAATTGTTTGGTTGATTCATGGAGTGATTATTGATTGGGTTGTTGTAGTAGTTCCTCCTGAGGGAGGGAACTAGTATCACCACATTTTTCGCCACTGTCGGATCCTGTGGAGGTCGAATGTCCAATAAGCACTTGAAAGTGTCACTAGGCAACTGAAGATAGACTTCCTGTCTAGCATCTCCTTGAATATGAGTATTTTTACCTCGCTTAGTGTGATGACCTGAAAGGTCATCTCGTGTTTTAGAACCCAATTCGGGGTTCCGAGGCCTTCAAAACCTTATTTTCTTTCTTCTCAATTTGCGTGCGCAGTTCGACCGCGTTTCCAGAAAATCTTTATGTGAAAATTTGAGAAAATATTAAGTTTTGCCTTTAAAAGTTGATTTTAGTTGACTTCGGTCAATATTTTGAGTAAACGGACCTGGACCCGTATTTCGACGGTCCCGAA